CCATCTCTACACGTTGCTCATGAAAATCAGCTATACTACCGATGGCATTTTGTAAAGACCGACGAAACCATAGTATACATGCTTGGTAGTAGAAAGTTTGTTCTTTGTTTGGGATCCTGCTACCTTTTTTCGTTAATATTTCATGCAATCAAGAATATGTTTGTTGATCAGATACGTTGCGAATTTTATCCGAGGACACACGAAACATTTTCCACAATCAGCATTAATACATATTACTGTTTCTGGAAACGATATTTTTTAATAAAATGCAATTTATTTCCAAAATACGATTATTCGTACGATTTACTCTTGGTTGAATGGATAGTACAGGATTTTACTCTATATATTCATTATATAAATTATGTAACCTAAAAATACTCTTTTACATATATCTTATCACTACTTTTCTCTGCTTTGTATATAGAACTATTTTTATCATAGTAAAAATGAGTGGCGAACGCGACATGCCAAAACATATTTCAATAATATAACACGTCATTCGCTGAAGTTTTGTAGATGAAGTTTGTAGATTAATGATAAAATATTAGCTTTCAATACAAAAGTAAAAACGAACAAAAAGAAAAAACATTATGAAAAATTAGATTAAAAAATATCGTATGTTCGAGAATAAAAAGATTTTTTTTCTGAAAATAGTCTTTACCAATTCGAATGCCAATTGCACAAGGATAACTAAGGATATACGTAGAAGTTTTTTTTGATTGTACCTGTTTTGAAACATATCAAAGAAGATGAAGGAGATTTCATTCAAATTAAGTACCCAACATTAGTAATCCATTGTCGAATCAAATCAAATCAAAGCTTCTTGAAATGTTGTTTAAACACATTACATTTACGTTTGTCAATTTATTCTATAGAAATTGATATACTCTATTTATAACAAACATCATATTCTGATGATACAAGGACCACTCTACAAATATAACCTGATACCAGCTTGGGACAAAGGGGGAAGGCAAATTTCCGCTCTTATCCGATGAGGTGCTTCTGTTATTTTCGCGAATTCATCGAATTCAATGCATCTTTCTACTGTATCCAGATTTTTGTATTTATTCTTTCTTTGCAAAGTTATAGAATTTACAAGAAAAGCCCTAAATGTTCATTGTCAGCTCAAAGCTACAGAAATAAGAAGAAATTAATGTAGTGCTTTTCTTGTACATTCTGTAACTTTGCAAAGAAGGGTCGTATATAGTTGGGAAATGTCTCATTTTAATCAGAAATTTCCGGGCTACAATCATGTCTCATTAAGAAGGGTTTTGGTTACTTTTCAGACTTTCTAAAAAACTGATTTTTCAAAAACTGCTCTCTGAAGACCTCTGGACAGCTACCACTATGATATTCGGATTCAGGTTAGTTGATGACCTATAACCCACTAGAGGTGGCTGAAAAGGTACCACAATAGGTCCCCTCGTTACTGTATCACGACTAATATCAGTCGTAATATAAGTCGTAATGTATTACGACTTATATCAGTCACTTGGTGCATGCTAAATATGTTAGCTAATGTTTGGATCTATATAGTTTCAAATTGAGTAGTGACGTGTACGGTGTAAGTGTCGATTTTAACCAACATAATGTATAACATACCCTATTCTGTTGTTGATATACAGAAATTGTGGTTCACCTATAAGCTCTGCTCTATGTATGTTTAGACATTACTACACGTGGCTGTTATTAATTCATTCCAATATGTGTATGTCCGTTTATTGCTAATGCAGGGTGCAGATCCATGTGCACAAGATCGTGACGGTTATACTCCAGCACATTATGCTGTTGAAAAAGACGACGTTGAGATGTTGAAAGCCTTAATCGTTAGAATACATCCTGACGTTAAAACATTTTCAGAGAGCAAAGTAAATGAAATCCATAATAATTGTGTGGGAGCATTGAAAATTACAGAAAGTTCTGGTAGAATGACTCCTTTTATGTTGGGTTGCTACAAAGAAGCAATTAATTGTGTACAATATATTCACCAACTTAACATAGATCATGTAAACAAACATGTACGTTAAAAATATTTATATGTTCATTTTCTCTTTTCAGCGATGAATAACGTCTATTTAGGAGGTTACGAAGATTTACTTAACTATTTTTTACATGATAGATTTTTTTCTCAACTTAGGACTTGGATGGCGACACCACATTGCATTATGCTGTAGCTCGAAACAACCTGGCTTTGACAACATTCTTAATTACTGAATGTCTGGCTGATGTTAATGGTGGTGAAACGAGTCGACCAAGCCCGTTAGATGTAGCCATATTCAATAATCATCCCGAAATAAAAGAATTCTTATTGCTCAACAATGCTAAATCACGTTTTAACATAAAGTGTATAAAGTTTAAATCTGACGATCCTCAACAGGACATTCAAGTTAATTTGGAAGGATTAACACTAGCTGATACTCCTATTACGAGTACATTTTCAGAAATTAATCGCTCACATAAACAAAAAAATTCATCATTACAGTTAGATGATCTTTCTAAACAAGCAGCAGAATTTAACAAAAATAATGATTATGACAATACCTTAAAATGTTATCAGCAAATGGTTAATATTTATCTTGAAAATAGTGAGAGTGAAATGGTGGATTCTGAAGTAGCAAAAATATACAATAGTATTGCTGTTGTGTATCATCGTCAACATAACTACAACATGGCACTGACGTATTATAAAAAAGCCGTGGAATGTGTACTGACAACGACGAATTATTCACAGCTTGGTGATTATTATGAAAATATTGGTTTAACGTATGCTACTCAAAATAAAAATGCAGCCGCTTTGGAGAATTTTCAAAACTCATTGAATGTACGACGTTCTAATCTCCAGCCAGATCAAACTGCAATCGAAAGAATAGAAAAATTTATTGAAAATGTTAAGGGAAATATTCGCTCGACAAACTAATGATCGTTCTTACCAGCTACTTGCTTTTTTTTTTTACAAATTTAAACCATCAACGACGAAATGATTACGAATCGTTTTTGCCTTTCCTTAGTTTTTTGTGTTTGTTTGATAGTTACATGATACTACAGTGTGATGGCTTGGTCAGTAACGTTTTCATATGATATATTTATTTAATGTTATTCTCAACGTTTCTTTGGTTTGAAAATTGAATGCAAAATGTATCCATTCAGTGAAGATAATCACCGGTATATCATCAACAAGTGAAAAGAAGGTCCCATCAATATCTCACGGGTAGCATAATGCCGTACACTGTGCTCCCGTGACAGTTGAGGATACGTGCTATCCGTGAGACATTGATGGGACCTTCTTTCCACTTGTTGGTGATATGCTAGCGATTATCTTCACTTAATGGATACATTTTGCATTCAGTTTTCAAACCAAAAAAACGATAAATACAATCTAAAATAAATATATCATCTGAAAACGTTACGGACCAGGTTATCACACTATACTATCATGCAACAATCAAACAAACACAAGAATCTAAAAGAGTGCAAAAATGATTCGCAATCATTTTGCTGTTGGTAGATACCTTTTATGAAGTTTCAAGCTAATTTAACAGTGACGACTCTTCCATGAATTGAAATATGATGGCAGTAAGCAACGTGGGAGTGAATGTGAAAAGAATTTCATTCCTGGAAGAGTCGGTGCACTTGATGTAATCAACGAATAAAATGTTAGAATGCTATTTTTCGATGTAACCAAGCAGTTATATTGGTGACCCTATATCACAATAATCAGATGGTACTTATTTTTGAAAAATAGCTAAATGATTTTAATGTTTTTATTCTGTATAAAGTTAATTAATTATACGTAACTAATTAATAAAGTGAACGTTTCCGCTGGATGGCCTTCATCAGTACATTAAAAAAATGTAGAGAAAATTAAAGAATTACGAGAAAAAAGCTGAACAAGCGGGCATCGACTATGTGCGTACAAAGTTAAACTTAAAATTTTATTGTGAAGACCTGAAAATAGTCATCTGGAAACTGAACACAAGAAAATTCGTCACGTTTCGATAAAATTTCGAACAAAATGGTTAAGATGATGCTCGATACCTATCATACAGATATAATAAGCTTATATAATGAACTATTCAACATGGCTCAGTAGGCACAACTCCTGAAAACAATTAGGAACAGTTTGTTTTAATAAATTGGACAATCGAGCACAAACCCATATCTCAGTTATGACTAATATCACTTCTATACGTGTTTAGTAAAATATATGAATGTTTATTTTTACTAAAATTTAATGAATGGCTTAAACAATAAAATATTCTATCACTACAACAAGTAGGTACATGAAGACATCTGTCAACATTGTCGACAGAAAATCTTCTGAGTGAACAGACAATACAATCCCTGCGGTTCAGTTCATTCACACCGATCATTAGAGCTGACGAGAGAACATTCCCAGCTGTCCAATCCCGGTTTCTTTCAAACATACATCAATCGATAGCCTATCGAGATAGTAAAAAGCCTAAAAGGATTTAACCCCATGGCTCTTGAAGGCCCGATTTTCTGGAAAAACAGTTTTCTAGAAACTCTAACAAACTAACCAAAACCTTTCTTAATAAGACGTGATTGTAGCCCGGAAATTTCTGATGAAAATGAGATACTTCCCAGCTCTACACGACCTTTCTTTACAAAGTTATAGAATTTACACGAAAAGCCCTAAATATCAGCTCAAAGCTACAGAAATAAGAAGAAATTAACGTAGTGCTATTCTGTAACTTTGCAAAGAAAGGTCGTGTATAGCTGAGAGACGTCTCATTTTACTCAGGAAGTACTCAGAAACTACAATCATGCCTCATTAAGAAAGGTTTGGGTTATTATTTTAGAGTTTCTGAAAAACTGGTTTTCCAGAAAACAGGGTCTTCAAGAGCCATGGGAATAAAGGCTTTTGGGCTTTTTACTATCTCGATATAGACTATCGATTGATGCGTGTTTGAAAGAAATCGGAGTTGGACAGCTGGGAATGTTTCCTCCTGAGCAAATCAAGTCAAAAATGTCTCATGTCCAAGTATAGTCAGACTTGATTGACTCGAAACATTTTTGGGGTGTGACTTGACTTGACTTGTGGCTTAAAAAGTCTGTGACTATCCCAGTTCTGCCAGTCATATATGTTGATTTCAAACAAGCTTTTGATATGGTATGGCAACAAGGTTTAATATTAAAATTAAGCAATTTAAATTCCTTATGCGTACCTATTATGGGATTGCAAAATATTTTCAAGACAACTGTTATGGCTGATTATGATGGACACTATTCAAATGAAATTAATGCATTAAGAAGTGCTCCACAAAATTCTGTGTTTGGGCCGATTGCCCACATTGTAAATACATATGATTTTCCACAAATATTTCGAAATCCATAATACACTTATACATCAATATTCTAGCCAATGTATACCCTAGTGAATGTACTTGCGAGTGAGTGGGTACTTGTTTACTTGCAAATTTCCATGAGTACTTAAAAAGCACTTGACAAATATTTTTAAAAAAAAATACTCGACAAATGTCTGAAAGTACTTGCCAGGTACTTGATTTACTTGTCGAACCTTTCACAGGTACTTGGGGGTTAACTGGACAAGTGCTTGGCAAATGACTTGACAAGAAGATAAAGTAGTTCAAGTACTTGATTTTCTTGGCAAGTACTTGGTTTACTTGCAAAAAAGCGCAAGAACGTTGGACAAAACTTGCGAGGGTACTTGACCAAGTACCTGCACGCAAGTACATTCACTAGGGTATATACCATCAATATTCTTGAAATACTGTAAACAAGTACAAGAATGGCAAATCGCATCAAAGATGATATGACTAGTCTGAATAAATATCATATCACCGGAAAAAGAAATAAAGTTCATTTTCAGTTGCTGAAAGGTGCTTTTTCATGTTCAGCACACTCGATAACCCAGAAGATTTTGTATTTTTGGTTAGGAGTACTTCAGAAAGTTTAAGAAAAATTTTGAAACTACTAACAATCTTCCATGAAAATGTTTTTGCGCCATTTTGTTCGAAAACTCTTGCGAAACTTTCGGAAGTAACCCTCGCCAAACATAGAAAATCTTCCGGGTTATCGAGTTTGGTGAACACGAAAAAGCGCTTTTCAGCATCTCAAAACAAACTTTATTTTATTTTGTCCGGTGATATGGTTGATGGGTATCAGCCAGTGCACATAAGAAAAATCGAATTTGTGATTTAGGGACCGTCAATTCATTGTCCTAAGCTGAGCATTGTCTGTCAAAATCAACAGATAACACAACAAAAAATATTCACATATTTAGGCGTCCTTAATGACTCTAAACTTTTATCCCGACGAATGATTGATGCACAGTTTGTCAAACTCCTAAAAATCTTACTTTATCTTGAAATATATTCATTGTCAATTTTCGTCCTTTTTTCGGAAAAATATAAAAAATGTCTATATTAATTAATTGATCAAATATAAATAATTGATTAAACAGTATTCTGTTGTACGAACATGATTATTTAGAATGCATTGCTAAATTAAAATGTTATAAACAACTTTTTTATGCATTATCAAAGAAAATACTGCTCAGGGCGGGTCTAACTGCGAATTAGAGGCAGAATTCCGATTTTTTCCAGTAAAGTCTACTTTTCTCAGGGAGGGAAAGAAAATTTTTCAGAACTAATGCCGGCGATTATTGGCTGTCTATGGATGATTTGAATGATAAATGGAAGCTCTTCTAACAAAAGACTACACAGGTTTGGGAGAATAGGGTGTCACTTTGTCCCTTGCTAGTCCTAGCCGAGTTTGCCGAGCGAGAGGGTTGTGATGAAATTCTTTCGTTCTTACGTGGATATACTCACTTTTTGATGCTGAATCCAAATAGAATAGTGTCAGAAAAGTTCAATTAGTGCAAACAGGAAAATCCTGAATTTTCTTGAACTCGGTCAACGTTTCACTCGGTAACTTGTATTTTAAACATTTCTTAACCAAAACATGGTCTAAACAAGCAAAAAGTACATATTTTTGATCAACTCAGCAAGCTCTATCTAACCATCTAGGATTCAACGAGAAAGAAATCTGCTCAACTTTATATTTCCGGCACCATAACTTAAGTGAGAGAGAACAGATCAATAGTCGTTCTAAACAACCACTGATGATGCTCTAAATAAAAAAAAATATTTTTAAATAATAAACGATTATTTAAAACGAGTATTGGAAAGAAAACCTGAAGTACTTCCAGTAAAAGAACAAACGATTTCATCATCGATAGCAAAATTGATCATCAATTATTAAAAGTTTTTTTTCTACTCAAAAACGTTCAGAAAATAAATGCATATGGTTGATATGGTGAGAAACGTTTTTATTTAATTAAATTTCAGTTATGAAGAGACATTAGATATTTTTCTTGATTAACTAAGAAAAGCTTTCTAAAAAGCAATTGGTTTTTCACTTAGTTGATTGATACAGGCGCAGAATACAAACTCTATCAACTTTCCGTCTATTGTTTTATTACTTGAATTGCTGTAAAAATCTATGGTTTCTTTCGATTGAAACAATGAAACAACAAGAACTATTTGTTTAATGAGATGTTAAGTGCAACTAGTGATGTATGAACTCTAATACTTTCAGTAAACAAATTAGAACACTTAGTCGTTCTAACTATATCCCTTGATAGTTATGAATAATCTTAATCAATCAAAATGGGAACATTACTGGTCCAAGGTAAAAGAGTATCTACTAGGATTTAATCTATTTAGAAAAGAGTCAGATGATCTTCATCAAACACGAAACGGTATTTTATCTCGACAAGACTAGATATCATACTTCTAGCAGTTTCTCTATTTATTTCGATTATTTATACTGCCACATCTGAACAAACAAAGACTGTTAATGTTAAAAATCCAACTATGAAGACATATAAACAACTATAGTCAAAATATTCCACTAGTCTCACGTGTATTTGTTCCCAGAATTCAATCAGTTATGATCAGTTTTTACAGATGCATCCAGAATATCATCAAGTGTGCTCAAGTTTCCTAGTTTCGGATAGTTGGATCAGTTATATGAAAACAAATGCTCAGCTAGTCCAACCTTATCTAAAATTTTTAGATTTTCTTGCTATAGGTGGATATCAGTTTCAAGCGTTATCGAGTCTCTGTCAATTTTCAATGAAAACAGTTGAAGATTCTCTTTTTCAATTTAATTCAAATACTTTGGTAACCGCTAATTTATTACCGAACAAAGTATTTCAACAGGAAGCACAATCATTGATCGATCTGTTTACATCAGAAACACTAAATAATTTCAATCGTTTATTTGATTTAATTCGTGGTACAACCTTTGATAATCAACTAGTATCTGGAATGCAAACTAGTTGTGGATTCAGCTTTTCCCCTGTCTTTTCTCTGAACAGTGGAATATTATTGGCACCTGCTAATATGTATACAAATGAGAAGGATTCCAGCAGCTCATGTTATTGTACGATTGACGGTAAAATTGAACAGAACAATCGTTTGAGATTCCATTCGGATCATTCAGAAACGCGCAAGCTGTCCATCAGAAGCAAGCTAGACCGTGAAGAGACTTTGCATCCCCACAGCAAACATCTTTTAGAAATAATTTCAAAACTCAGTCTACATTCCAACCACCAACTGATCCAAACATCATTTTTTTTCCGTAAAACTCCCACATGTCCGATAAGAAAAAGTCAATTTTCATGGACTAAGATAATTTTTTGTAAAAATTTTACAAAAAAGCAAGTATAACGCACGAAATCTGAGAAGAAACTCGAGACGTGTACTCGTTTTTATTGTCTATACAAGATGAAGAAATAAATTAAACGGAAAATTGCTATTTAACAGGATCACATTTTCAAGCTGAATAAAATTTCCAGATTATCTTCTATTTTTGGTTTTTAATTTAGAAAAACGGTTGGTAAAAAACTAAAAGTTTTATTCAGTACTTTTTCTAGGCACTAAAAGCTTTTTCGCCAAACACCATTCCTGATACGGAGTTTATTCAATCAGACGGTTTTTATCAACCAAATGAAACAATTCAAAATTATGTTGAAAACTTATTTGTCGAAAATTGGAATGCTAACATGTCTTATGACGGATATTTTAATAGTTGTCGTATCGATTACTGTACTTATTCTTTTGTGCAACAGAATGATCTTTTACATATAGCCACTGTTATTATTGCCTTAACCGGCGGTTTACTGTTGATCAACAATGATGTCTAACACGCATACTTTACTACTCTTTTCTTGTTAATTGAACTTGCGGACATGATTTTTGCATAGTTCAATTAACAAAAGGATTACGATTGTTATTACCACCTGTTATTTCATTCATACGACGAAAGAAAAAAGCGACGGCTAATGGTGAGATTAACTGATTTGAAACTAGACATGGAAGGAGTCAAAGTTTTCTAGTTCCGCACCTGGCTGAGGAAAAAATGGTGTCTTTAGAAAAAAGTTTCTCAAAAAGTTTCAAACTATTTTTTGAAAATGGACAATGTTTTAGTTCTCGGCTCTTATGAGTAAAACTAACCTCACCTAAAGATCTTGATGTCAAAATAATATTTCTTTCTATTTCTTCTAGTTTCTAATAATTCCTATCGACAACAAATTAAATTTTTATGGTCCAAGATAAAAGAGTATCTACTAGGATTTAATCTATTTAGAAAAGAGTCAGATGATCTTCATCAAACACGAAACGGTATTATATCGACAAGACTAGATATCATACTTCTAGCAGTTTCTCTATTTGTTTTGATTATTTATACTGCCACATCTGAACAAACAAAGACTATTAATGTTAAAAATCCAACTATGAAGACATGTGAATATCTAGTCACAATATTCTAATCTTATATGTCCATGCGATGAAAGAACAATTAAATATGATCAATTTTTAAAAATTCAACCGTTGCACCATCAAATATGTGCTAATTATTATATTACAGACAGATGGATTGATGCTCTGCATAATATAACAGACAAAGCCATAAATCGTTCTGATTTTCGATGGACAGCTATGTATTTTTTTCAAACATTGACGAGTTTTTGTCAATTATCTAATGAAACAGTTTTGGATTCTCTAATTGAGTTTTATTCAACTGAATTAATCACATCCAATATATTATCTAATGAAACATTTCGTTCTCAAGCGAACTCATTTATTAATTTATTAATATCAGAAACACCATTAACTTTTCGAAGATCTCTAGAACTAATTCGTATCTCAGCTAACACTAATCAATTAATGTCTGGAATACTAACTAATTATAATATTCAGTTGTTGTTTCCTAATTATTGGTTTGTACTTGGTACATCATCAGTTGAATATAAAACATGTAACTGTAATAGTTCATCTTGTATTCAGCAAGCCGCGTTTTTAGAGTATAATACTAAAGCATCATGGAACATTCTTGGATTGAATATTGGCTGTTACGTTGTTGATGCAGTACTTGCATTCAACCTCGAATGTTTTTATACACAAACATGTCTTGAAACTTTTCATATTTATACAGATACTTTCGACAATTTTTCTATTCTTAATTCAACTGTGAATTCAATATTTATGCCCAACACGTCTATACAAACTATTATCTACCAATTATTTGTTAAGCAATGGAATTATTCAATAGTCTATGATACATACTTCAATACTTGTCGACCTTCTTTGTGCACTTATTCATTTGTTAAACGGATTGATATAATCTTTATGATAACTACAATCATAGGCATTTTCGGTGGAATTACAAGTATTTTAAAGATAATTATTTCAAATACTGTTAAATTTTTTAGACGAAAGAAAAATAATGATAATAGTCGAATTTGTTCTACAACACTTGATAAGGACAGGCGGTCGATATCAACTATTATTTTTAAATTAAATCGTATACATTTTGAGCGAACAAGAGGGGAATCAACATAATACTCTTCGCCACTTTTCGAAAATGTGTGATGATTGTTATCGATGAAATTTGCTGTGAATATTAAGAAAACGTTCAACTTACGCCCCATTATGATAATGTACTGTTCAAAAACCATTTCTGTGTATGTATTGAATGAAACGAAGAAGTCATGATAATTATTCTCTTCTACACATCCATTTGAACTGTAAATAAAAGTTCCATTCAACATATTATCACCCCAACTATTAACTTCTTTCAAAAGTTACTGATGTTTAGATTTTAAATAATGTTTAAAATCAGAATCACATCTTTTCATTCTAAATTTGATTTTTATCGGTTATTTTAAAAGATGAAGAGCCCCACATTTTTTTCTACTTGTGTGCAGCCATGTACTCTACAATACCTACAAATAGCATTCAGTTTGGTTGCAGTCTGGTTATTAAACAAATAGAGACGGTGGTGGATTCACGAAAAATGGACGATTTCTTTTAGCTGTGTCTAAAGATGGGCAAAATTCTGCGAAAGTGAATGATGTACAAGAAAATGTTGCTAGGAAAGTTGTAGCATATCTTGCGAGCGATTTGAAGAAAACTAAAATTTGATAAAAATTCGAGCCTGCATGGTCAGTGAGAAAAGAGTGTCGTGGCGGGTCACGATATGACCATGTTTTTTTAGTTTTTTATTTGTTCGTAACATGAGTAATATCTCAATCAAAACACGTCATGAGTATTTCTATAATAAAAAAGAGCGAAAACATAGCTTTTCTCCTGTTCGACCTAAAGAACAATCACAAAAAGTACATGAATGAGAAAAACATCTCTAAACTTTTATTAACCCTTCCCAAAATCTAGATATATATAATTTCGCTCTTTTCGAATAACCTGCGTGTTTAATTACATTTGTATTTAAAACGTTGACTAAATGAATTTTTGAATTACTGAAGTACTTTCAGTAAAAGACCAGACAATTTTCATCATCAATAGCAACATTGATCATCAATTATTAAAAATTGTTTTTTCAAATGAAAAATGTTCAGAAAATAAATGCATATGGTTCATGTGCTGAGAATGACGCCTTTTATCTCATTGGCCAATGAGAAAAATAAAATTTAGGCAAAAACCACGTAGATTATGTCGACACCAGCAAAGAAGTCAAAATAGATTTAAAAGGAAAGCCGCTGTCCGATTCACCGAGAAGTTTTGCACCTAGCCCAATTTTTATCTAATTTGGTGCAGCGCGGCAAAAGTACCTAATTTTATAATGAATACAAATTCTATCAACTTTCCGTCTATTGTTTTATTACTTGAATTCCCACGTGTTGCAGAAAGTTTATATCTACACAAGATTTGCCAAGTTTCTTGATCTTAAAGAATGTTCAAAAATTCTTGTCAAGGTCTTGTCAAGTTTTTTTGAGGAATCTGCCTGCAAAAATCTTGATCAAGATCTTGACAAGATTTGAAAACTTTTCTGTAATTAACAAAATATTTACTAACAAAGAAAGTTGGCAATCATTTTGATTACGACATGACTCAGAGGTTGGACAAAAATGTAAATATGCCAACTTTGCATTTATTTATAGTTATTAAGCACTACAATGTAGAGGACTTGTTAAAATTCTGTTGGTCGATAAAGTAGATAAATAAATATGTTATTCTTTCAATCACCATTTTGTTTGACACTGCTGTTGCAGATATAAGAATAAATAGTTGCACTACAGAATACTGAAAATTTTGAAAGTGAAATTCAAACATTGTGTTTGAATGCATGGTTGCTCATGCTCTTTCAACAGCTTAGGCACTGCATGCATAGGACTGCAGAGCCTGCACTGTAGTGATACAGTAGAAAAAAAATAAAAATATGAAGTAGAAAATAAAGTTTAAGATTTTCTTTCAAATTTCCAAATCTGTTAATGACCATTCTGATTATTGCGTATTAAATTAATGATTTCAGAATTCTTGAAATAACTTGACAAGATCTGCTCAAGATTTATCATGGTAGATTCTGATACAAAACTTGTGGAAAATCTGCAGCATTGCTTTTTCGATAAAGTGCACATGTTCTTGAAACATCTGAAGTGGAACTTGAGAAATCTTTAAAGATTTATCAAAATCTGCACTCAAGATTTTTTCTCCTGGCTGCTGTATACAAAACCCATGGTTTCTTTTGATTGAAACGATACAACAACAAAAACTATTTGTTACTCTCTCAACAAGATTTCTACCCTCTTTGTCCTGCATTCAAGATATTCAAGTGTGTTTTGAATTTTTAGCCTCTTTTGGGGCTAAAATGATGAAACTCCTCGAAAAAGTTGTTGAATAGTTTAGGATGATGTAACCGCCAATTTAAGGCGATATGACCACGAGGGGTGAGATTAAAGAATTGGCCAAAACGAAGGATTTTCGAGTATAAACTTCAAGTCCTCTTTCTTTTAGAGATATAGCAGAAGTATCACAAAAAACCGCATGGGTCTATTTAACTCTCAAAGTCAGATTATGCAAAGCAGATGGCATGGTTCTATGGTGTAATGGTTAGCACTCCAGACTCTGAATCTGGCGATCTGAGTTCAAATCTCAGTAGAACCTGAGTTTTTTTTTGTTGGTGTTATTTTCTTCTTGATCCCTATTAACATTGTTGGTGTTATTCATTTTGTGTGGCAACTTCGATTATGATGAAAAACAGAAAAGAGGAAGAAATAATTATGATTATTGATACCAGCAATGAACGTGGTAGTGGCATGTGATTCAGTATTATAGACGAAAACCAGCACTAACTTTGTCTGTGGCAGTTCACATTTCAACAATCTTTTATGAGACTCTGGCATAACACGCCAAATTACACAAGGGTAAAATGTATCATTTGTTTTTGAATCTGAAAATTGACTATATTTAATTCAAATGTATTTAAATTATAACTCTAGTGAATGTACTTGAGATCAAGTACTTCGCTACTTGCAAATTTTCTAAAGTAATTGGTTAAGCACTTGCCAAGCATTTTTACATTTAATACGTGCTAAGCACTGGGAAGAACTTCGGAAACATACATATATTTCGGAAGTACTTACCAGGTTGCTTGCCAAATACTTGATGAAGTACTTATCTAGTACTTATACTTATTAAATTACTTGATAAGTACCTTGTTCACTTGCAAAAAACGTCAGGTACTCGGGACATTACTTATCCAAGTACTTGCCCAAATACTTGGTCTCAGGTGCATTCACTAGGGAAATGAAAAAGAATCTTTATCAAAACTAAATGCATATTGAGTATTAGGTTCTACAATGCAGAACCGAACTGCAGTTCCGAAGACCCGAGAATCGAACATCCCTAACCAATATCAATCCAACTGACAGTATCAATGATTACATTTCCGGAGTACGTATTGTAGTATTTACCTTCGTGCATCATTTAACTCTCAAAGTCAGACTGTGCAAAGCAGATAGCATGGTTCTATGGTGTAATGGTTAGCACTCCAGACTCTGAATCTGGCGATCTGAGTTCAAATCTCAGTAGAACCTGACGTTTTTTGTTGATGTTTTTTTCTTCTTCATCCCTATTAACAAATCTCCAGCCGTCTTTTGTAATAGAATTCTAGAAGAAGAATAGGCCATGCACCGACGTAAAACATAGCAATTCTGCAATGAGCCGATGTAAAGGCCACAACACGAAAGTAAGACTTGAGACAGCTTTTTTTGAGTCTATCAAAAAAACGTTTTGTAGTACCCAGGTCAAAGGATCCTATAGTAAGATCATATGGGATCTTGTAAGATCCTGTCAGATCCTAGAGTAAGATCCTGGCTGATCTTATATGATCCTATGAAATCATATAGGATCTTATAGGAAAGACGTCTGCCATCTTAAAGCAAGAAATGACGTAGGATTCCTATTATAGGATCCTATAAGATCCTATAGTAGGAACTTATAAGATCATACAAGATCTTATATGATCTTATTATAGGATTTGATAGGATTTTACATGATCAGCTAGGATATTATAGGATTGCA